TTTATTAGGGGAGTAGGAGACTTCCTTTTAGGAAACTGCAGATTTATCCCAGCAGAGAGGCCCTCCTGTCCGTGCGTTCATTTAATGTGAGCCTTAAAGTCCTCATGAGGGTAAAGACTTGAAGGAAGTCTCACCTGTAGAAAACTTTGGTTCAAGTCAAAACTTAATTTCTTTGCAATTAAAGAGTTAAAGCTCTACCGAAGCATTTAATTGCATTTGTATAAACTTATTTTATATACCCTTAAGTTTTACTTGTTTTAGTGTTCAGTCATACAACACTATGGCTTTAATTATTTGTGTTTGTAGTTAATAGTAGAAACTCGATGAGATCGACCATTTGTCCAGACCCGCCTTTTCGTCTTCATTGTTGCTGGGCTGTCGAGTTCAGCAGACTGTAATAGCCTATATGCCACGGACTTCCGATTCTAGCACTTCCGCATTCTTTTGCCACGCACCGGTCTTCCAGTTCGCAAGCAATACTGTGTTAGCAAAAGATTTTTTCACTCAACAACGACTCAGTACAGAATTAGCATATTACATGTACCAACATTAACACAGGACACGTACAGGTCCAGCCAAGTGGGGGGAAAAAATCACTCAAAAGTGGATTAAAGCCATAAAAACAAAGGAAAGACGTTCTTGTTTGTGGTTTCAGAATTTAGCCTTTTTCGCTATTCTTTGGCTACTTGTTCTGTGAATTTTTCACGTAGAGCTGTGACACATATTTTTGGTAAGAGCAGAGTCTAGGCTTTAAATTGATGGGCTACTTGCATGGTTTGGATCGTTTTCCCCGAGTTAGTGAACTGAAAATGTAACGATTTGCTGCTCTCGGTACTCGTGGGGTGGGGGGGGGGGGGGGGGGGGGGGGGGGGGGGGGGTGCTCGGCGCTCGGGTATACACTCTAACAAGTTTTTACTTTTGCATAAAACTCGTGAAAAAGTTGCCTAAAAAATTTCATACTCTGCAACACAAATGTGCGCGCACACACGCACACCTACCTTTGTACCGGCTGCTCTGTTAGCTCCCTCCTAGCTGTGAGGTGGTCTTTCCTCTCTCGTCTTGGCAGTAAAGGGGGATAAATGTACATCTCCCTTTTGTAACCTCCGTCTTCTCATTTCTGATGCTGACTCTTGAATATCCTCAGGTTAGAAATGTCAATTACAAATGCGAGCATGAGCTTTTATAGCTAAATTTTCCCTGTAATGCTATGATCCTCTGCTGTCACCTTTCCTCCTCATCAAGAGGAAAATGGAGAAAAACTAACTACTCTATCGTACCTGCTGGTTAGTGGACACAACGGCACACAACAGAACTCACGTTTTATACCAGTAGATCACAGATGCTTTAACTTTTGTGACTTTTTCACGGACTAGTACCAGCAGCTAACACTAAAAATGAAGGCAGTAAGCAGGAAGTGGAAGGGATGTGCGTGGCAGGAATTTTAACGGAAATACGTCATCAATGGCCGTGGCATATAGACTACTGACGTTGATATTTACTTGTAACACGCATTTGGGGGCAGCCATGTTGGATGRTTTGCAGCTTAACAGCTGTGTGAGTCTCAATTCAGGGGCTGCAGCCTACCTAGACCCCGCCCTATAAATGCTGGTATATCCTCGGTTTGGAAGGACATTCAGATGCAGCCTTCATTTTCGTCCGCCACATGAGAAGGAGCTCACGAGTTCATAAAGCCTTCGGCGCGGGGTGGTGACTTAAGCAGCCAACAAATGCTAACTTTGAAGGACTTGGCCTCTGAATTGAGACACAACCAATGTGAAACGCTGCCATGTAAAACAGTGATGCATAGTTTTTATTATGTAATGATGCCTACTGAATCATTTATTTGCATGTGTGGACAGAAGTTTTGATGATGTCAGAAATGTACTTAGGTTGCATAAGTGTGAATTAATGTTAGAATAACTGTGAAGGTAATATTCAGGGGACTTGAAACAGTTAAATTCTACAGTGGTGAGAAGTTTGAATGAATGACAGAATGGTATGCATTTATGCTCGGAGGCGTCTTCATGGTTTCTAATTCTGTGAAAGGATTCCTGAATGGATTTTTTCTTCTTCTCATAAAATAGTCAAATTGTGAAAAGTTTCTGTCAGGCAGAGGATGTCCACTCCCTCTCTTTGTCAGTCAGATTGAGTGTCCCTTTCTCCCGCTCTCTTATTTGGCTCCTCTTCTCGGGGGAAAGGGTGGCGTTGGGGATGAGGTCACCGTTCCAAAACATGGCCCCGATCCTTGTACCAACACAACATTTCCTCTTCCATGAATCCAAGTGAAAGCAGAACAAACCAAAGTTTTCTTTATTAATGACACATCTGAGTTTCTGTGCCGGGACGACAGAAAACTTTTGCTCAAGGCATCACAAGTTTCCCACCAGCCTGAAGGGGAAAAATACTTGAATACTAATTTGTTCTGTACTCCCCTTGTTTTGCTGCTGGTGGAGGAGGGGCACCTTTAACCTCAGAAGTCCTTCAAGTCATTTTTATGGAAATTGTGTCAAAATAAGGGCTCAGAGATCCATTTGACAGAAACAATAAGCAGGTTTTTGTTGAAGTTGTAGCCGGAGCTTCTCTGTTAAACACTCACATCCAGATCCAGTCGCACTCTTCTAAACAGCATAGACTAATTCTTCTAATCGATCTCACTTTGAATGAGAGGCTTGTTGGCAATCAATCTTTACTGAATGAATAAGTTGATTTTTTGTGCACAGAAAAGAGATTTCAGAAGCTCACACTCAGTTTAATAATGTCTCCTGTTAGCTCCTGAGGTACTGAGTTTTCCCCCAATCTCAGAAATTATAGCTAAAACAATTAAATCAATTGACAGATGCTTTATTTACCCATTAATTTCATTATGGTTAACTAATCCTAAACCCCAAAACGCCTAATTTGTGTAGCTAAAACTACAGCAAATGTCACTTTTGTATGTTAAAACAGTTTGTTATAAAGCACCCGCAGGTTGAGGTTAATTGTAAGTTTCAGGCTCAGGCTTTCCTTGAAAAAAACTACTATCTCAGTGGGATTTGCCAAGTTAAATAAAAGGTTAAAATTAAAGGAAGGAAATAATTACCTGAAATCTGAACATGTAGATCTATGTTTCACTAATTATTACTTACTTAAAACTAAAGAGCACTTTGAATAAAAGGGAAAACGTTTTCACAAACCTTTTAATTACATTTTATTCAAGAATAAAGTAAATCACATTTCAGCGTGAGCATTTAAGACATCTTTTCACCTTGTTTTCTGCTAGCTAAAGATTATTTGAACTATTCAGTTATAAAAGAGTTGAAAAACGGGAACAAGAAAGTGATTGAGTAAAACAATAAAGCCTTGATTAAAACCCAACTCGTCCTGCAGCTTTCGTATGTTACTAAAATAAAGTAAAATGTTAAAATTATTGTGTCGTGTATTGATAATATTTGAAACGTTATTGTTTATTTTTCTGAAGAATATGTCCATTTTCAAAAAAAAAATATTTGTGTAACTTTAGAGTTGGTACTCTTCTCAGACTGTCTTCATGGCAGTTTTTGTAAATGTGTTTTGGTTTGTGTGAGTGTGATTATGAGAAGTGGTCTGTCTGTTGGTGTTTGTGTGTCAGAGACTCAGCAGCGTGGCTCTCAGCTGGTCAGGACCAGGGGGGTAGGGGGTGGGGGTTTTGGAGGAAAGGAATGCTACTTCTCCGTGTAGCCTGTAATTTGCCGTCATCGAATCAGGGGAAAAACAACAACATTGGAGAAGAGCAGAGGCAGATGCGTGTATGAGAGTGTTTTGAGGGAAGTTTTGGGTGAGAAGTGAAGCCGAGAGGAGAGAAATTAGGGGGGAAGAGACAAGATATTTGAAAAATAAAGAAACGCATGGTGAGAAAAGGACGAGACTTAATTATTGTGGTAGTGATAATCATTGGTCAAGAAAACTGCAATGAAAATCCCCAGAGTTATGGATAAATCTCAGCATTCGATCATCAATCTGCGCGAAAAGAACAAAATCGGTCTCACTAATGTTAGAAAACAGAATTTATTTTAGGGGTCTGCAACCTTTATGATCAAAAGAGCCATTTCTGCTCTTTGGCTCTCAAATAAAATGTGTCCAGAGCTGCAAAACGAGCTACAACTGTGATTATCAACTGGTGGTCCGTGGGCCTTTTTGAGGCCTTTTCAGGAGCCTTTATGGCCATTGGGGGTGACATTATAAAACTAAAAAAATATGCTGTGAATATTAATATTTCTTATTATTTTTACACTTGAGGACAAAAGAAAAGACCATATTCATGTAAACAAGAAAAATATTGTATATAGTTTTTACTGAATTTCACAAAAATTAATACAACATAACTATGCAGGCATATTTTTTTCTATTTCTTATTATCATGTAATCTTAAAGGTCTTTAAAAGTAACCCTGATGAATTTTAGAGAAAGATCATAGAACGAAGTTGGATTATTTAAGTAAACAGACTAGCATGAGCTAATCAACATGTTTTACTTTTTGTATTAGTATTGATCACATGTTTGCATACAAATTGATTTCTGTTGTGAGTATAAAAACCAAAAAAATGTGTTCTGTTATGTTTGGTCATATTTTCAAAGAGCCACTGCAGAGGGACCAAAGAGCCAAATGTGACCCCAGAGCCGCATGTTGCAGACCCCTGTTCTAAACAAACAAAAGAGTTGAAAGGTTTAAAAAGACGTTCATCTTTTAAGATGTTTGATAATCATTTTAATGAAACAACTCCACTACTATTCACGATCCATGAGCTGGTATAAAAGCAACAATCAATAAAAAAGCTAAGTTGACAGCAGTAACAAGGTCATCATGTATTTTTCAGGACTTTACTCCATCTCCACAGTGTTCAGTTGAACTGAATCAAATTACGCTCCCAAGTTTCTGAAAAACCTCTTGAAACTACATTCGGCTCTACAATTAAATGTCATCAAAAAAACGTGTGTTAAACTTTAAGAGAACCACGGAACTTGTTTGTAAACTATGCAGACGATGTCTTTGATTCTCCAGAAAACCAAAGAGAAATGACTCGTCTCGGGTTTGACTGAGGCCACGGCTTCGAGAGGTTTTTCTAAAGCTGGACCCTGATTGGTCGGAGTGCTGTGGGTGAAAACTGACTGAACCCTGAGGAGAAACAGAGCCCCGGTTGATAAGAAGACACAAAGCAGACGCCGTGCTATCAGATTGAAAAGAAACAAACTTCTCTGGCTGTTTAGCGGGAATATCTCGTATTCTTAAGAACAAGTCGCTTCTAATTGCTCATAGCTCGGATTCAGGTATTAGATTTCTTCTCTGTATGAATGATTGTGTGATTTTCTTTGACAGTAAAAGTGYGTTAAGCTGTAGTCTGAGCTGACAGGTGATGTATGTGTTTACAGGTTATCAGTAGTCAGCGAGCTACAAGGAAGGACGACTGGCGTGTTTCAACAGCATATGTTAGGAATGTGCTCCAGGCTGCTGAGAAACACGTGTATGTTTGAAACTAAATAATGCGCTGTATGCATCTGAGGTTTAGAGTGCGAGTACCAGGTGGTGTATCTGAAACTCTACATGTTTTTACATACAATAAAAAAAATCTGCAAAATTAATAAATCCATCCATACTTGTGTAAATTATGGATTTTCTTAAACGACACTGGAACAGTGTACATCAGTATTGTGACAGCTGTGTGTTTTTATAATTCTTACGTTGGTATGTTTTTATTTCACAGGGCTGAGTGAAGCAGGAAGGAGCTCCAGCTGCTTGAATCTCTCACTAAGTGGCTGAAGGAGGTAAACGTCAATAGTTTTAAGTCACTTAACCTTTTTTTATTTATATAATCATTGTCAATATATGCCATTTTCTGTGACTAATAAGTGTTGACTTTCCTACTTTCCGGAAGCAAATAATCCAACTAAGAAGCTGTGCTGGTGTTGTTGTGCAGTGAATCAAGTTTTTCTCAGTGTAAAGAAATGGTTCACTGGTGGTGTTGCTAGAACAGTTAGTGTGGAAAAATAAATATGGGATGCTATAATCCTTCTGAAAAAGGCGTATTCCTTCTTTTTTAATCAAGTCAATACTGTCAGAAGCTAATGAGCCATAAAAATGTTTTTTCAGGCCCCCCGATCTTTGTTTACAATTTCTGTGCAAAAGCATCTACATCCAACTTCAGTATTTAGTTTCAGTCAATAATTTGGTCAACCATGCATGGTGCAATATTTTAAAGTTTATTTACTCCTTAGCTAAACCATAACAAATGAATTATGTTTTTTTTTTTTTATTTCATTTTAGCCCAGACCCTTTTTAAAGTTGTGGGAGGAGGGTGAGGACCTGGAAAAATGACCCAATCAGTGCAAGTTAATCCAAAAATGCCTGGTAAGAAGCTACAACTTTAATATATAAATGTGTGTCTCTGTGCAGTTTAGATAAACTTGGCAGAAAAAGTAAGGAAATTAGTGTTTGGTAGATGATTTATTTGTTGTAACGATGCTTCTTGGCAATAAATCTTATACCGGACATGTGATTGGCAGCACCTGAGGGTTCCAGAAACTCAAAACAAGTCAACAGCAACAGCAAAACAGGCTGTTTGGCAGAGAAGATTTGGTAAATTTTTCATGTGCACAACACACATACTCAGCTCTACTGCTCAGCCCACGATTGCATGTTCCTTACAAATGTGGCACCATTTAAAAGGCAAATTAGCAGACTTTCCAACGGTATAAGATTTTATTGCCAAGAAGCATCGTTACAACAAAGAAATAATCTACCAAACACTAAATTTCATACTTTTTCTGCCAAGTATATTTGTGACATGATAATGTAAAAATTTATTATACCTTTCTAGATTACAATTACAATTATTCCTACACAGTTCTGTAAAGACTGAATAGACTGACAATGTAACAACAATTTGTTTAAAATTGTAATTCCACAGAATTTTAACAAAGTAACCTGGCCTTTTATTTTCAGATTTAGGCTCTGCGTTCATTTATTCCAGTCCAGAAGAGGCCGATCAGTCCGCCTCCTACTCTGTTCAGACTCCTTATGGGTTCCAGCTGGACCTGGACTTCCTTAAATATGTAGAAGAGATCGAAAGTGGGCACAACCTTCGCCGGGCGCCTGTAAGCTCCAGACGACCTGGACGGGGATTAAGACTTTCCCAGAGGAGTCCGAGTGCTGGGGGCCGTACCAGTGGATGGACATCCACAGAATCGCTTTCATCCCCCGTCAGCGAAGATGGCAGAGTTCCTCCGCCGGCGCCGCCACGTAATCGCCTTGGCTCAGCCCCCTGTGAAGGACTCTCCTATTCCCCTGTAACTCTCCTCAGTATTCCTCCCCTGTCCGCTGGGGCCAAAGTGCCACCACCTCCACCGCAACGCAACCCAAGGGTTGAGCGGACTCTTCTGGAAACCAGCCGGCGGCTACAGCAGGAGCAAACCCATCAGAACGGTGGGCGCCTCCAGCTGGCAGATCCTCCCAAACAGCTCACGCTCTCTACATCCAATCAGCCTCTGCAGAGTAGCTGGACTAAACCCAGTCCTCAGACCTCCGGGCGCAGCACTCCAGCTGCCGGCACCACAGTGACCCCAATCCCACCCAGCCAGCTGCAGACGGTTAGAGAGCAGATGGCTACAGCCTTGAAGCAGCTGAAGGAGATGGAAGAACGGGTAAAGGGTGTTCCTGCACTTGAGAAAGAGGTGGCTAAGCTTCGTGCAGAAAAAGACATGCTGCTGTTGGCTTTGGAGGAGAAGAAGGTAGCAGTGGAGGTTTCCATACAGAAGCATCAGTCTGCAGACTCTTCGACTCAAACTACAGAGACCCTCCAACCTGACCACAGCCAACTGACGTCACCGACCAGACACAAAGGTCTTGTAAAACCTGGAGAGCTGAAAAGACTGACAGAGAAGTTTGAGGGGAAGGAACAGAAATCTCCCCAAACAGCATCAAAAGTTTCCATGAGCGCCCCAGAAAAAGCAGTTTTAAAGAAATCAGTAGCCGTCGGAGAAGACGTTCCCATGGCTTCTGTTGTTTTCTACCACAGCCATGGCATGAAAGATGAAGCTGTGTGCACTGAAGTGAGAACGAGTGAGAAATGCACAGAAACAGAGGGCCCTGCAGTTCATGAACAGGGGGTACAGGCCAGAGCGGAGACGGAGGAGGCTGAGGTTTGGGTCATGGAGTCGCTACTCGGGCTGAGCACAGAGGCGCAGCGGGAGATGGACACCCTACAGGACACCATTAAATTCCAGCAAGAGTCCATCGCAGCTCTAGAAGATCGTTTGATCGAAGCTGACAAAGACCTTGGAGTCCTTCGGGCCCAGATGGATGAAAAAACTTCCAAAGTCACATTTGACAAGGGAACTCTTTCCAAACCTGACGTGAAAAACGCCCAAGTAGAGACAATAACTTCTGCGTTAAAGCATACTGCAACTATGTGCCGTCCAGAGATGATGGATGCCTGTGTTGGGGAAGCAGCAGGTCAAAACGAACAGGGCACCCAGACCGATGCTGCTGTAGAGACAGAACCAGCACCTGTTGAACGGGTCAGTGTTGGGTGTCAATGGGAGAAGTTGACGGATGAAAAGTCTGAGGAGCAGAAAGTTACCGTGCCAAAGAAAAGACAGATAACTATCGCTGAGTACAAGGTTTCACCAGAAGAAGAGGTGATCAGTGCAGAGGGGAAACAACTGGGAGACCAGGAAGAGGAAACCACGGCCAGCAAGACGGGTCAGTTCCGTATTTTTTTTTAAGGTCAGGAAAAGGGTTCKTCCAGACTTTTTAAGACCTCTTTAATGTCACTCGAAATTAAATTTAACACCAACTTCACAATAAACACAAATGGAAAATAAACAGCGACAGTTTTACCCAAATGTTGATTTTAACACAAAACAACTAGATGTGAGAAGCATTAAGTAAATTATTAAAAAATAAATAAATGTTACCAATTATTTTAATGTTTTAAACTAATTGCAGTCACCCCACTTACAATGTGTTAACATTGTTAAGACTCTGAAATATTGATTTAAGACATTCTATATGTTTGGACTGATGAATTCAATGCCTTTTAAGACTTTAAGGATCTGTGGGAACCCTGAGGAAACATACAACACATATTTTGAAACTTCAATGTTACGATAACCAGCATTTTGGAGGTGACTTTTTATTTACTTTTTGGAGAAACTGTAAAGTGTATTCCCACTACTGATAGGTTTATAGAAAACCAATTTAAGTAAATCTATTTTGACAGCAGGTGTTGGTTATTCAAGTTTCATGATATGCTCAATTTCTTTCATTCGTTTCACTTGCACCCCAAAATAAATTGAGCACTTTAGCCTGCATTAGAAAAACAAGAAATAGCTTAAGTAATGACTAAATTGAAAAAAATAAATAAATAAAAGGCTTTGCTATTTGTCTTTCATAAATCCCTTTCAGCTCAGTAACTCTGGCACTTTTAGGGTCTTTTCACTGATTTGATTGAAATATTTCCAAACCTATAAGTTTTGTTTTTGCAAATGATTATTTTGACATACCTAAAAACAGTAATTTAAAAATATTTGCATTTCATCAGCTCAAGCAACAAACTGTTATGACTGGTTGTGTTTGAGGTGTGTGTTTTTGATGTTGGATTGTTTGACTTGGTCGTCTCCTTCACGCTGACAGGTATGCTGAAATCAATCATGAAGAGGAAGGATGGGAGTAGCTCGAGCGAGAACCGCAAGAAGAGCCTGCAGTTTGTTGGCATTTTAAATGGAGGGTAAGTGATGTCAGCAAAAATCCTATTTTGAGGCAAAAATAAAATAAGAAGCGACAAAGTAAAAAAAAAAACTATAACACTTTCTTGCCTCTTTCAGATATGAATCTACGTCTAGTGAAGAAGAGGAAGAAGAGGAGGATGAGGATGAAGAAGCCGTGAGCTCTTCTGGAGAAAGTGTAGACGAGTGCAGCACAGAAGAAGACGAGGCAGCGCTGGAGGAGGAGACCTCAGAGGAGGAGAGAAACGTCAACCTGGACGAGAGCGACACCGACGAGGAAACGCTGAGAGCTGCGACGTATTCATCTGACGCTGTGAAAGAAAAGTAGGTTTACTTTTCACTTTAGCTTTATGATGCAAATATCCAAACAAGATTTTAATTCAGGCGACAGTAAACTCTGCTGGTTTTGGTCGCAGGTTTGAGTTCAGCTCCAAAATGCGCGAAGCCTGCCTGATTCTGAAGAATCACTTGAACGACGATGTTGAAACACTGAAGAGTAAAGAAGTGGTGCGTCCCTGCATGTTTTCGTTTACAACTACGATAGTATTAAAATACCATTTCAACTCTGCAATACCATAAAGTATCCATCAGCATTTTCATGTCATGTCAGGGACCTGTCAGCCTAATAATAACAGTTTGACTTTGAATACAAGGTAAAGTTTTTACTAGAGGTGTAAGCAGTGGTGGGCACAGTTCCCCTAAAGCACTAAAACCCTAATAGGGGAACGAATTTCTTGATTAGTGCTTTAGGGCTTTTGCTATTTTTTAAAATCATTAGTGGATTGGAACTTGCTAAATTTTTGGACTAAATTTAGAAGCACTAACTGAGGTCTTTAAATGTTAATGATAAACATTATTGTTCACAGTTGAGGGTGAAAGCTGTCAGACATTTTGTTCATATGTGTGTCACTTATCTACAAAGTCATATATCAAACTCAAGGCCCACGTGCCAAATGTGGCCTGCAGGTGACTCCCATTTGTCCCGCCAAAAGCTCTAAATGACAATATACTGCACAGTAAATAAAGTCTCATGTTGCCTGAAGAATGTTTCATGTGTCAACTGGATTATAGTAGTGCTTTAGAATTAGGGGACCTAAAAGTTTGAGTTAGTGCCTTAGGGTTAGTGCAACTAATATTTAGATTAGTGTTGCCCACCACTGGGTGTAAGTAAGGAAACAGATACTCTGAAATATTGCGATACTTCTTTTCCTGACACAGTATCAATTCTCAAAAGCACTGTAGCAATTTTTAATTAAGGCTTAAAATGTAAACTTTCATGCCAGAGCTTAATTTTTGTGTTGTATTTTAGCCTCCGACCACTAGTTGGTAGCAGTTAGTTCGCCAATTGGCTGTTGCAAGAAGAAATGTGACATACGAACACACTTTTCACTGTTGTTCATTGTTCTGATTACATACAAATAAACTGAATTGAATCAGATTTTCTGCATGTAATGCATTATGTGCTCTTCATATTGAGTTTTTTTAAAATGAGAATCTTTTAAAGAATAAAATGGCAATATACAATATATCATGGTGTATCATATCATGATATGTTGTATCATATCACCAAATTCTTTTCACTAGACAGCCCTGGTTTTTACTACCTTTTAATGTTTCCAGTGTGTAATTTTACACCTCATCTTCAGTTGTCCAGCACTCACACTGTCCAGCTCGAGTGGTTCCGGATCTCCAGTGCGAAGATGGCTCAGCAGTCGCGGGTCTCCGACTACCTGATGGCGTTCTCCGAGGTGTCGTCAGTGCTCCTGGAGCACGTGGTCAACATGACGGACGGAAACGGCAACACAGCTCTTCACTACAGCGTCTCCCACTCCAACTTTGGAGTGGTCAAACTGCTGTTGGACACAGGTCAGAGGGCGGCACACCAGTGTGCAGAGAATTAACTCTTGTACTCAAATCAACCCTAGCAAATTTCTGATGGTTGCAGGTATGTGCTGCGTGGACAAGCAGAACAAAGCGGGCTACACGGCCATCATGCTGGCCGCTCTCTCAACTGTGAAGGAAGAAGACGACATGGCTGTGGTCAAGAAGCTCTTCAGTCAGGGGAATGTCAACGCCAAGGCCAGCCAGGTACAGTATGTTCCTGTTGTTCATCAGAAACCTCTTATAACCAAAAACATTGCTCACGTGGTTTTAAACCTCCTAATTACAACCAGGAGCTTTTCCATGATTGTTTTAATAGAGTTAAACAAGGCAAACTTGGTTCAAAACAAGCAGAAATCTAATAATAGCTTTTTTTAAACTACTTGACTTTATGAACAAACACGACTTGTTGGATTAAAATAAATAAAGCAGCAGAGCTTTTTCCCAGATTAGAGCAATTGACATCTATCTGCCTTTGCTTTTAGAATAATTAACATTAATGGAAGCCTTTTTCTCTGAGTTGTCAAGTTGACTTTTTCCATTATTTGGCCTTTGGCTAATAACGATCCTGCATCAATGATTAGCACCATTTACGTCACTGTTGACATTTAGCCAGTACTGGTTTTTGTTGTGCTTATCATTTTGGTTCGATTTTCTTTCTGACAAGCATGTGATTGGCTACTTAAGCCCTTTTTTAGCTAGTTTTACCAAGAAATATTACCCTTGATAAATGAATATAAAAGATTTGGAAGATATGATGTCAAATGCAGTTATGTACAAACTTGAATAATTGTTAAAGTTTGGGTCTGTATTAGATAAATGTGTAGAATTTGCAGATTTTTTYCAAGTGGTTTATCTCTAGTTGATTTAATCAGGTTTGTGTAGCATTATGTGGCGCCTGACTGCTTCACTCAGAGCCAAGTCATGGGACTGAATTTATGGCATCACTCTCTATAAATCCAATTACTGGTGCTTGTTATTGTTGCTGCAGGGAATAAAACATGTGGCACGCAATGCAATTTAGGGTCTGGAATTAAAACTGCACCATTGTCTGCTGCTTTGTGTTAAGTTTAGCTCTGGAACACAGACGCCTTGCGCACAAACTTGTAAAAACTTTAAAAGTTTTTTTTTGTAAAGCATTACACGTGGTGCAACATTTTAAATTCATTAATTTATGAACCATCTAGGTACTAAATAAATAATAAAAATGATTTTGGAGATGTAAAGATGGCTTTTGTGGGACTTTATACTTGACACAAAAAAATAAGGACATTTGTGTTTGGTAGATTTTTTTCTTTGTTGTAACAGTGCATCTTGGCAATAAAACTTATACCGTTGGAAAGCCTGTTTATTTCCCTTTTGAACTGTGCCACTTGGTAAAGAACGTGCATTTGTGGGATGAGCAGTAGAGCCGAGTATGTGGGTTGCGCACATGAAAATTTTGCCATATCTTCTCTGCCAAACAGCGTATTCTGCTGCTACTGACACTTATTTTGAGCTTCTGGTACCTCCAGGTGCTGCCAGCCAGGTGATAGAAATAAGATTTATTTCCAATAAGCACTGTTACAGCAAAGAAATAATCTACTAAACACCAATTTTAATATAAATTTATTGACCTAGATTACAATTAGGCATTAGAGTCTGTTTAAAAAGAGCATTATTCCTACACAGGTGTGTGTGTGTGTGTGTGTGTGTGTGTGTGTGTGTGTGTGTGTGTGTGTGTGTGTGTGTGTGTGTGTGTGATATAATATATATATATATATATATGCATAAAGTATATAAATACTTGAATAAAACTGAATATGAAGTCAGAAATTCGATTTACTCTACAACTAGACAGTGATTGATCACTGAAACATCCAGGGTGAAAAAGCTATGGCTTTGGTTAATTGCAGAAAACGAATAAAAAAAAACTCAGATTTAACAGTTTGTGCTCAGAAAAAAGGACAAGGCGTGTTTACTGTGAAAGATGGTATTTTGAAGGATTTTTTTTTTAGTTTAAGTAAATACTTATTTAGTCTTGTATGTAACGTTTACATTCTCAAATAACAGCTTTAAAAAAATTAAAATCAAAATCTGTCTTCCTCTTGCAGGCAGGTCAGACAGCCTTGATGTTAGCGGTTAGCCACGGGCGGCAGGAGATGGTGCGGGCCCTGCTCGAGTGCGGCGCCGACGTAAACGTGCAGGACGACGAGGGATCCACAGCCCTGATGTGCGCCAGCGAGCACGGGCGTGCTGAGATCGTCAAACTACTCCTGGAACAGCCAGGCTGTGACATCTCCATTGTGGATAATGTAAGGCATTCACATTTAAAAAGGGCACATATCAAACAAATCCCTTTTTTTAGCCATTAAATGCATTTAGTTGTGTACTTGGAGTCTCTAGGAGTGCAGAAAAGTTGAATTTAGTCTCTTGGTGCTGTGGAGATATCTTTATATTCAGTTTGGTTCAGTTTTCTCTACTTTCTATGACATTTTCTGAACTATTACATCAAATTATTTGCAACAAAACTGCTAAGTAAGGTTTGGAGTTACCAACTACAGTTTGTTGTCCTCATTCTCCTCTGGCTTCTGTTGTTGACATCTTTTAATTTATTTGTAAATATGTTTCTGTGAAGCTTTATAGTCATAAACCCCTCTATCAAACTAGAATGGACCTGTCTGGAAGTTGGAGGGGGACGGGGTGGGAAGAGCCTTGTTTGGGATTTAAAGAGACAGCCTCAAAACGAGTTGATCTGAGACACACCTCAGAAAAGAGGTGAAAGAGGGGCTTGTGGAGTTACAGTAAGGAGGAATTCAGACCAAAGCATTGCAGTTCCTCTTTATGTAGACCCCAACTGAATGATTTAATGTGAAAAAGAAGGATTTAAAACCACGATATGTCTAATTTTAAGACTTTTTGCCGATTCACCAAATGACTTGGACATGAATCCAGAATCTCCTTGGGTTGTTTCTTTTGGAGACGAGTTAGCGTCTCGTTGAATTCTTGAGTCTCTGTGACCAAACGAGACGTGCACATGGCTCAGTTTGATTTACGAACAGCCAGAAAGAACATAGATGGACTGGTCTGTGCAGACCTGTTTTTTTTTTTTTTTTTTTTTTTTGAAAGAGCCTCTTGAGATATTTCAGAGTCCTTGGCGAAACAGTTGAACAGCTGGTCACAGTTGCAGGCCAGCGAGATGCTGGTTTCAGGTTTTCTACTCTGAGCTAAATACCTCGATCCGATCGTCGGGGCTTTGCGGGATAAAAACGCGTGAGAACTTTCTCGTTTGGGATTCAGCCCAATCTGTTCAGGAAACAGCTCGCCTTGGGAAACTACAGTCAGCAAAGTTTCCCCCTCACACTTTTTTAAAAATTCTCTCTTGCTACGAGAGACGTGATTAAAACTCTGAAGAACCTCAACCAGATTACTGTCATCAAATCGGTGCTCCATACAGGAAACACAACCTCTGATGTCCCCGGGGAAGAATAAAAAAAAAGCCACATCCCTTCTGTTCAGACTTCACAAAACAACCCGAAAACAAATCGGCAGCAACTGCTTTTGTCTAGCAAAACATTTATATCGCCACCTTTGCTCCAAACTGTGTGCTTGTTTTGTTTCTGCTCAGCCTTGTGACTCTTAAAGTGATTTTACAGTCAACTGGTCTGTCTGGATGCTTGAAGAGAAGCCAGGCAGACAGACATCTGAGTGTTCACATCTGTGCCAGAATGAGTGGGCCATTTGGTGGAGGCAGCATTTGGGTTGTGTTTCAGTGCAGCACAGCTGGACAGCTGGAGGGTGTGTGTGTG